TTTTTTCTTTCTAGGTACGAACCTCAAAGATTTATTATAGCATTTTGTGTAATAAAAAAAAAAAAATAATAATAACAATAAATATTACCTATGTTAAAAATTAATTATTGTGCTATATAATATTATTATGTAGGTATCGAATATTCTAAATATTATAGACTGTCGAAGTGTTCTGCACTATAAATAACGTATTTAAATAAAAGTAGAGGCCTACCATTGATTAAATATACTATAATATTATAGTTACTGTATATTTAAACAATGCTAATATTTAATGGAACTTACAAAATGTCAAAATATACGAAACGACTTATGAGAAATAAAGAATAATATTTTATATTATTCCTTATTCACAGAATAATGAATATACTATATAGTATGTCTAGATATTAAAGATTAGTGTCATGCGGGTGATTATTATTTAGAAAAGAAAAACATATATTATCCAAAACCAATATCCCATATTATAAGTTTGTAAACTGTCAGTTTTAATTAAAATTTGTTGTTTGTTATATATTTTATATTCATTCATGGATATGATAAGAATAATTTTGCTCGGAGTGAGAGAGTGACCCATTCTCTTTACTATAGTCTATAACCGGGTGGATTATTATTTATTATTAAATATCAGCTGATGTCTGGAACCAATATTAATAATACTTAATATATAGTCTATATTTAAATGACATGACAAACTTGGTACTGTACAATTTAAAAGCGGGCATTCGACTGTCGACTATAGCGTGTGCCGCGTTGTCAACAATCTACTATTCTTTATTACACTATTGTTCTGTATTGCTATAATAAATTTGTATTGATCTCAATATTTAATTTTTATAAACAAAATTGAAAATACATTGTAATATGGATACTGATACATCGCAATCAAAATGCACAAAATGGAGTCATTTAAACAATTAATATTTTAAGGAAACATTGCATAGTGATGGTAATAATAATATTACATTTAAATGTTTGCTATGTATTCCTAAAGAAAAACTCATCTCTACTTCGACTTCTTCCAATTTAAATTTAAGAAGCCATAAATCTTTGTACTTCCGGCAGAAGTCCTGATGAAGCGTTACGGAGTAGTTTTTCCGGTGTAAAACGCGTGCATTTCTCGGATAGCCTGCTCATTCCTCAAAATGAGTTGAATATGGCCCGTGCGTCGATACCAGAGTTTGCCGGTAAGAGAGAGGAAGACCCAGTGCGGTTTTTGCTCCAAACCGAGGCAATACTTGAAGAAACTGGTATCCACGAGGCTAGATGGGTGACCGTTTTGCCCCCTCAGCTGAAGGCACAGGCAGGAACATGGTGGGGAACCATGAGAGCGTTAGACTTACCATGGCAAGAGTTCAGGTCCGAACTATTGGAAACGTTCAACGGAGACGAGTTGCAGTCAAGTCTGCAATCAGAATTGTTGAGTACCGCTCAGACCAAGACCGAAACACTGGGGGAGTACGTCCTACACAAGTAAAAGTTGTATCGGAGGTTAAACCTTGGTCTGACAGAAGAAGCGGTGGTAATGACAGTGATTGGACTCATGCTTGATGAATTTAGAACTCATGCACGTATACAGCGACTGAAATCGTTCAGCGAATTACGAGCGATTGCCCATGTTCTGGATGGTAGCAAGGCCGTATTTACGGATAAGGCGGGAGTGAGCACCAGCGTACCACCAAAGTTAAAATGGTTGGATAAACGAAAAGCTGAGAGTGCTGAGAAATCCCAAGTGAAGAATGAAGCAACGACTATCTTCGGGAGCAGGATGCAGAGTATGTGGTAGTCATGACCACTGGCAAGCTACATTTCTGAAAAGAAAGTCGGAGTCGGGACAAAAGACCGGCGGGACAGCCGGGTCCCGGCCGGCCAGGAAGTAACCGGCAAAAAAGTCACGAGTCGTCCGAAGGGTGGTAAGCAACGAAGTTCAACTCAGGCAGTGAGTAACGTTCTGGTACAGGAACCACCAAATTACAAGAACTGACCCGAAGAAACGGTACTTCGGAGCGTTACGGACCGGAGACTCGGGAAAGGGCCCGAAGAAATCGGACCAAAAGAGTTCTGAACCGGTGAAATCTGGTAAGAACGTAATTCCTCCGGAGGAAAACATTGGTCACCCGAAGGAAACCTCCGGAGTGAGGAGTAGTCCGGTAAAAACCGTCGAGCCTCCGGAGAGACGCCGGAGAAATCGCCGAAGCCACCCGAGAAAACCCATTGAAAACGACGTTCCGGTAAAGGAACCACAGTTCGTGACAATGGCCCGGTAAATGGTTCAGTGATGGAAACGGGTTCCGACCAGCTGGACAACAGGTCGGGAAAATCATTAAGGATCGAAAGTGTTCCGGACAAAAGTGAAAATCTCACCGAGGTGAGTGATCTTTCCAATAAAAATGTCGTGGACAGCATTTCAAGTAATGCGGAACAAGATGAGTTAACACAGGAGTTGTTAATTTTTCCGAGGAGTTTATTCCTTATCCACGGGAAAAGTGCAAAAGGAGAAACTCAGATACGGACTCAAAGTTCGAGTTGAGAGAACGCTTTTCGGATCTACGGACCGGAGTGTTAGAGTCTCCAGCCATTGCAACGGTGTCAACGGGGAAAACTACAGTAACGGATGTTCCGTTACCGGCCATAGAACTAGAGTTTGCACTCGGGGCAGTAGTAGCGCTACTGGACTCCCAAGCGGCGTGGACATACGTCAAACCGTGGGTGGCAAAGAAGTTTGGCCGGAGTTTTACCAAAGCACCGGAGATTGTCCGGATGGAGGACAGTTGGACCCGAGAAATTACGGAGTTTTCCGAATTTCGGGCCGGTTAGTGGATCTGGAGGTAAGCTTCAGGGCAGCAGTGTTAGACGATCTCATTGGAGATGTCTTCCTGGGCCATGATTTCTTCGTGGAGCAACAAGTAGCTTGGGACTATAGTGGTTGCATAATCCACCTGGGGAAAGAAAGACGTGTTTCCGTGAGTTGGAGAAATCCAATAACTCCGGTCACCGTAGGAGTGGACTTAACAACTTAACAACTTAACAACCCGAAGGAGAGTACGGTATGCTGGTCAAAGCAGTCCTGTGCCAATATCCGGAGGTTTTCTTAGGAGAGGTAGGCAGAACTCGGGGGATAGAGCACCAGATCCGTCTCAAGAATCCAAATCCGGTGGCTCTATATGCTTACGGGTACTCCCGTGACAGGAGGTGGGGGGTAGATGTATGTTGTTTATTTAGCCATATTTCATGAATGTTAATGTATGAATACATATTATAAGCTTAATAAATGTCCATGTTATTTTATTTTTGATACTGCTGTTATCATAATATGCTGTCTACGAAAACTATGGTAAAATAAAATAATCGCTTATCTTTAATTAAATATATCATTCTTACTAATAAGTAATAATAATTAAAATTAATTTTATAAATGTTTGTATTTAGACAAGTAGTTATTTTATTAACTGTTAATTGAATAATATTTAATACTATACAATATACATTTAAAATTAATTTGATTATTATTTATTAATACTTCGTTGGTAATAACAAAGTAAAATTTAAAAGTTTTACCATCACTTTGGAAAACTTTTAGGTAAAAAATAAAATAGGTATATACAAATAATTTAATTATTTTGTTGGATTTCATAATTTATAAGTACCTACAGCAAAATACATTTTTTTAAGATATAAAGACCTACATTATAATATTTTGTTATTTGTAAATATTCAACATGAGGTGTAAATGGTGTAATTATATGTTGTATAAGAAAAAAAAAAGTAACTTATTCTTAACTAAGCTAAGTTACTTTTTTTTCCAACTAACTTGTAACTTTAACGAGTTAAATAAATAAGGAAAGTGACTTTTAACTTTAAACTTAACTTACATTTTTCCAAATTAACTTAACTTAACGAGTTAAAAAAAAAATAGTTAACTTGCCCAGCCTTGATTATTGATATGCTTGATCCTTGGCCATTTTCCAGCAAAATCAAAAAGTTCATCAGCCAAAGTTCCAACCGTGATGTCTTCATCAAATTTTTTCAACATATCGACTAGGTACATTAAATGTTTGGAAATTTGAAGATGATCATAATTTTTAATATCTTTAAATCCTGAAGGTTCTAAAATCGACATTGATTTGAACAGCTTTCCATGTTCCGAAAATCATTGTTTAAGACTATTAACTGCTTATTCATATATAACATTATACACATTTACACAATATATAAATTTTTCATTTTGTATTGGGTCGTCAGCAATTTTTTCTCCAGTCATTGTTTTCTTTTTAGAAATCCTTGACTGTGAAAAGCTCATAGGTATGCAGTAGTCTAATTCACGACTTGAAAATATTTCATTAGCCCAACAAACAAATTGATCTGATGCACATATAACTAGTTCAAAGTTTCTCGACTGATTTTCAAGAGTATTGATTATGTGTTTCACCATTTTGTATGCTCTGAAAATATCCATACCATTTGTTTGTAGATATAATGATAATGCAGTTGTAGATGCAAATATTTGAAGATAAATTTGACTCATCACTATAGTTTCATATTTTAGGAGAGCATCTATATATGTTTTAGCTTTAAATCTTACATTCGGAACAAATGTATCCGTAATATAAATTTCATGTAAAGTCTGAATAATATCCACAAATAGAGAATCTTTAGGATTACCTTTAGGGTTTACTAAACGGCATACTTCTTTGCAACGAATTAACCGATCTGAACCAAACTTGGCACGATGATAGTGTGGACATCGCTGAGTGCCAATAAGTGGTTTTGATCGATGTCCGACCTACCATCGAGGCATAATCACCGAAAAACTAAATTTAAACTAATTTCGATACCATAATTTTGTTTCCATAGAAACATAGATCCGGCATAAATCAATAATTTCACAACAAATATACTTGAAACATGCCTCGATTAAGAAAAGCATCAAATATAAGCCGACAAACAACGAATAGAAGAAGAGATAACTACAACGCCATGATTAAGGTAGCGTTTTACTTATGGCACCGACCGGTGTTGCATCCAACAATATCAATGGTCAAACAATTCATTCAGCTGTACGTTTCAATTCAACGCGTGGTTTACTAAATGAATTGAATGGCGAATCCGAGCGTAATTTTCAAGAAACAACGCGTAATATCAGAGTCTGTGTTATCGATGAAATGTCCATGGTAGGAGTTCGTGTGCTGGTTAACATCGACAAACGACTTCGTCAAGCATTTCCGGAAAAACAAGAGTCAGCCTTTGGTGGAACGATATTATATCTACTAGGCGATTTCAACCAGTTGCCTCCAGTCTTAGATCGATCATTATTGGCGCCTTCCAATACATCAATTACATCTGTATATGGCCGTGTTTTATTCGAGCAGTTTACAAAGGTATTCGAGTTAACGGAAATTATGCGACAAACAGGCGATTCACAACAACAGTTTAGAGAAACGTTACAACGAATGGCTCTAGGATCTTTGGAACAGTTTGATTACGAAGTACTCAAGAATCGCTTTGCAGTGATTAACATAGGTCAAACCGAAACATTCAAAAACGCTCTACGAATATTTTCTAAGAAAACAGAAGTTGATATTTTAAATGAAACAATGCTACGATAGCTAAACTCTCCTGTAACTTCAATTTAATCCATGAACAACAACAAAACTTCTTCGCGAAGCTCCACCGACGATGCGCAAGGTCTAAAAAATTGTTTTAACTCTCAAGAGGATGTCGTGTGATGCTTAAACAAAACTTATGAACATCGCAAGGTTTGTGCAATGGTTCACTTGGCACTGTTTACGATATCATATATAAGCCAGAAAATAAAGACACTCATCTAGATGAACAGCCTTTATGTGTATTGGTAAAATTTGATGAATATCAAGGTCCAACACTCTACAGCAATTTGGTTCCAATCGTCCCAGTAACAGTCAGTTTCAAAAAAGGTAGCACTACATGTACACGGAAACAACTTCCTTTACAATTGGCATTCGCTATAACCGTCCACAAAAGTCAAGGAATTACAGTTGATAAAGCCGTGGTTGATATTTGATCTTCTGAGTTTGCTCTGGGTTTATCATAATTGATTATTATACTAAAAACAATGTTGTTCTTCCGTGGTTATAATTTGTTAGTTTGGTTTTTCATTTGTAATAGTTAAGAAAAATGTATTAAATATAAATGTTTGAGAGTAAAAACGCTTCCTCGAACAAAAGCAAGTCCCAACGATAGTGTCATCTTAATTTGTACCTTTTCAGTTATCAGAATCCATCAAATCTATGTCATTCAAAAAACAAGTTCAATTAGCTTTGTTGTGTTTAACTCGCTCAGCTCACTTTCTTGCAATCAGCTAACCGCATTGCAGTCCTAGTTATATGAACCAAATATTTTACTAACACAACGATCTTTAGCCCACCATCTTGTTTCGCCAATCACTGATATAAATTTAAAATTAATCGTTGTCTTCCACTTATTCATTCATAAGTAAGATTCAGGAATAAAAACAGCTATGGCATTCAATAAACCAAAAAACGATACACTTTCTATGCATTTCAGACATAACCAAATTAAGCACATGTTCGTGACACCATACGTGTATATGTTCAGGTATTTTTTTTTCCAACCATGCAGAGAATATATTCGCCTCTCATATTTGAAGTGCCATCCGTTGAACTACCCATGCAGTTATTTATGTCCAAGCCAAAGACTTCTAAAAGTTTATAAACCGTACTAGATTCCGGTGTTTGTCATCCCGCCTACGGCGGAAAGACTGTGTGGGCGGTGGTGCATCTTTGTCGGCTATGCTGGGTTTTTTGATCCAGCCTGCGGGGGGAAGGGGGTCGTCGGGTATTATGTTTTGTCGTGTTGGCAGCACTTTTTAAGCGGTAATTTTTGAACTCGGAAGAGTGTCTAGTCGTAAGTCACGCGATTCAAGTCGATCGTAAGACACAGCCAGCCAGGTAGGCAATCCGACTACGTCGGATCGCAGACCATGCCCCATTCGTGTATGCCGGTTCTTGAGTGTGTGTGTTGAAATCGGAAATTCGGATTCTGGGTTTGAGTGTCTAGCTATCAGTAATCTCGGGTAAAAGTCGATTCCCGAGTGTCGGATGCAGTGGGGGACACTGGGGGTGTAAGTCGCTCGTATGCAAGTAGCTAGTCAGGTAGGCAATCCGACTACGTCAGATCGCAGACCATGCACCGGGCGTGTATGTCCGGTTCTCGTATGTGTGTTGAAATCGGAAATTCGGATTCTGAGTTTGAGTATCTAGCTATCAGTCATCTCGGGTGAAAGTCGATTCCCGAGTGTCAGATGCAGTGGGGGTGTAAGTCGCTCGTATGCAAGTAGCTAGTCAGGTAGGCAATCCGACTACGTCGGATCGCAGACCATGCACCGGGCGTGTGTGTCCGGTTCTCGTATGTGTGTTGAAATCGGAAATTCGGATTCTGAGTTTGAGTGTCTAGCTATCAGTCATCTCGGGTGAAATCCGATTCCCGAACGGACAATCCGCCTACAGCGAAAAGTGCTCGAAACGGCCGTTCAAATATGAAAAAGTATACAGGAGGTAATAAAATTGTATTTGTTGATAATTATAGAGAACAGTTATCAGGTGTTTTATGTTAGGCTTCACTGTAATCAATGTAATCATTGTTATGTTTTCGCGGTTATAACAAATAAGTCGACAAAATCTAATTTTCTGATTGGATATTTTCTAAAATATACCTTCCATGTATATTTATTTAATTATGAGAATTAAGTCAAATTAACAAATAGATAATTATATTGGTGAATAACAAATTTTATTGAAATGTACTACTATCCTATTAAACGTAGGTATCTATAAATGAATACACTACACATACTCTCGTTTCCGACACACTACTCCACCCCGGGACTCGAATTTTCGAAAAAAACGGCAAATGAAGCAGTCATATTACAGTCGTACTATTTTTTAATATAGTATTTATAATCTGTAGCAGTATTTAACCAAATCGGAATCACGTAAAAACTGTAATATATCAAGTAGGTACTACACGTAGGTTAGTTATACGTTATTATAATGTGTTAATAAAAGAAACATGTAGGTGCGTCGGTAAAATCAAGTATTAATTAAATGTTAATTTTAATTATTTTTTTGCCCAATAAATATCGTCAAACGAATAATAATAATATATATAATATAATAATGCAAATTTAAAAAAAACATGTAGGTGCGTCGGTAAATGTTAATTATAATAATTTTTTTGCCCAATAAATATCGTCAAACGAATAATAATAATATATATAATATAATAATGCAAATTTAAAAAAAAAATTAACACTTTCGTTAAAAATGATAAATGTGACGAAAAAAAAACGCAAAAAAAAGAAATTCGATTTAACACGGCCCCGCCGGCGTTCGAAACCACGACCGTCGAATCACCCGTTTTAACGCCTAACCTACCTAGCCACCTACCGAGATGAAATTAGGAGTCAAATCTATGACTCTTAAGGGCGTTTGAGCGGACCACCGTGTCCGCCACCTTCGGACGTTCAAAACGCGAGATTTGCGAAAAAAATCGAACCTCGAGGCGCATGTATATACATGCGTATATATGCCTGTATATAGCGATACCTACACGGTACCTACTCTCGTTTCCGACACACTACTCCACCCCGGGACTCGTCTGTGGCTATAAATATAGCGGGGAACGCGAATAAGTAGTCGACGGGGAGGGTGATATGACCGAAAGGGGCTAAAACTATAATTTTCAAAAAAAACGGCAAAAAGAGCAGTCATATAGTCGTACTATTTAACTGCCAGAGTTTAATCATTTCTATTAGATCTATTAGTTTATTAATACCGTATTAAACAGTATTTAACCTAAAAACTGTAATATATCAAGTAGGTACTACATGTAGGTTAGTTATATTATATTGTATTTATATAAGAAACATATAGGTGCGTTGGTCACTGTAAAATCAAGTATTATTATTATTATTTATAAAATAGTACAGTATCATTATACAATTTAGTTACAATTTAAAATATCTACTTTAATGTATATTAATATTTTTCTGCCAAAAAAAAAAAAAATGTGACGAAAAAAAAAACTCGAAAAAAAAACATCCAAATAATCACGGATGGCGCAAATTATCGAAAATCCCATAGGCCGGGTTCGAACCCACGACCCTCGAGTCAATTATCCTAACGCCTAACCAACCTAGCCACCTACTCAGGTGAAATTCGGAGGCAAATGTATGACTCTTAAGCCGCGTCGCCGTGCTCGCGGCGATAAAATAAAATTCTTATCACTTTCCTTATCAATAAAAACAATATTTAAGAAAATCCCAATAAATCCTATCAAAAACTCAAAACCCCGAGTTTCCCCTTGGCGAGGAGGGTGTTAGTACTCTCCCGGACCAAAATCCATCAAAAAAGCAAAATCCAAAAAGGGGGGAGGAGGTGCCCCCGTTCCCTAATGCGGAAAACGGTAGTATTCATAAAAAGAATGGGTCCCCCCTTGGTCCGAGGTCTTTAACTTGAATTCCGGCCGAGTTATACTCAACTCAAAATGTGGGGGGGTGGGGGCTTTGGTTCCCTAATGTTGAAAATTCATCTGGGGCCTAAAAAATTGAGATGCCCATTGGTACGGGGTCTCTAAGTCGAATACCGGCTAAGTTATACTTGGTCAAAAATAATTACTCGTTTAATTGGTCGGGGGGACGGTCGCGGGGTAATCGATTTATAAGACGTTATTATCAAGTCAAAAAATTGAAAAACCGGGTTATTTTAATAATAATAATAATAATGTTCGAAAATATTCGTCGATAAGGAAATGGGAGATAAGCGAGCGGAATTTATAGCGAACGCGCGGGAAGTATTGTGATTGGTCGTCATGGAAGAAACGCGGAGTGCCGTGAGCGCTCCCCGCGGATCTTATACGCGTTATTAGCGTTTTATTATATAAGACTAGATTCCGGTGTTTGTCATCCCGCCTACGGCGGAAAGACTGTGTGGGCGGTGGTGCATCTTTGTCGGCGATGCTGGGTTTTTTGATCCAGCCTACGGCGGGAATGGGGGGTCGTCGGTTATTGTGTTTTGTCGTGTTGGCAGCACTGGTTAAGTGGTAATTTTTGAACTCGGAAGAGTGTCTAGTCGTAAGTCACGCGATTCAAGTCGATCGTAAGACACAGCCAGCCAGGTAGGCAATCCGACTACGTCGGATCGCAGACCATGCCCCATTCGTGTATGCCGGTTCTTGAGTGTGTGTGTTGAAATCGGAAATTCGGATTCTTGGTTTGAGTATCTAGCTATCAGTCATCTCGGGTGAAAGTCGATTCCCGAGTGTCAGATGCAGTGGGGATGTAAGTCGCTCGTATGTAAGTAGCTAGTCAGGTAGGCAATCCGACTACGTCGGATCGCAGACCGTGCACCGGGCGTGTGTGTCCGGTTCTCGTATGTGTGTTGAAATCGGAAATTCGGATTCTGAGTTCGAGTGTCTAGCTATCAGTCATCTCGGGTGAAAGTCGATTCCCGAACGGACAATCCACCTGCGGCGGATCGGATGAAGTGGGGGTGTAAGTCACTCGTATGCAAGTAGCTAGTCAGGTAGGCAATCCGACTACGTCGGATCG